GAAAAATAAATGAAGCACGAGAGTCCTCAATCTCCTTTTCTGCAGCTTCTGTTCTGAATGAATGGGAATCATTCAGTATAGAGGCTTCCCGTTCATTCACAAACTGGTGATAGTAAATATTTACTATCATCCAGTTATGAATGAGTAGAAGTCTCTGTACTGAGCTGCTTCCCCCATTCAGAAACCCATGAATGCACAGGAAGTGATGTAAAGCACTGTTCATTTATAACTGGGGACACATAGTACTATCTGATCAGCTGATCACTCCTGTGTTTTTGCTGCACACAGAGAATCCTCCGCTCGGCCATCCTGAGCCGCTCAGCCACGCACAGATCACAGAGCCGCCGGCAATCCTTAATCTGACAGCCAGCTGCTCTGCTCACCACTTGGGCATCCTGAGTGTCACGGCTCCCTCCTCCGCCCCACGCTGACCATCTCTTCTCGGATCCCTGCTGCCTCAGCCCATACAGGCGGGGGAGAGCAGCGGGGATTGGAGGAGAAATAGATCCCACCTTGGATTGGCTCCATGCTTGGAGGAGAGGCTGCAGATCACGGCAGCGGGGGTGCCCGCTGGGGGTGGCATATTTTTTGTTAATAGATGTAATCAGCTTGTCAGCCACTGATGACAACTATTATTTTACAGAGGACTGTCAAGGGAACCATTCGGGTGTAAGTTCATGGTCACTAAAGTGACTATTAGGCTTATAGCAGAACGGTAAGAGCCAGCAACGTATGACATGCTGATGTGGCCAGCTGCAAGCGGTTGTGTTGCACCATATGCCATACGTTGGTGGCAGCGAAAGGGTTAAAGAGCCAAAGAAAACCAGAAGAAGGGGTCCCAGGTCTTGAAAAATAACAGAGATTGTTGTATATATGTGATTTCTCTAGCATTGTTGCTTACTTGTTAAATGCTTGTTCAGTAATCTGAAGTCTTGTGAACCTCATATATTTCTGAAACATCGACAACATTTTTAATGCACAAAATTACCAATATTAGCTAAAGCCAAAAAAATTGGTTTGGGATTACCAAGAATAAAGCTTTCTGCTCAACCATAAAATGTTAAAGCTCTACAAAGTGTACACCCGCCAAGAATCTCTCACTGTAGTTCTTTCAACCTTTTCCCTTTCTTTCAAAGAATTTCCAGGATGACTTCAAACACAGAAATTCCTTATCAAACCATGTTTTACTATGTTAGTTATCACATTCTAAAATCAAACACTTCCAATTATGGGTACAGATCTGAAGAATGCTGGATTCCTAGACTAGCTCATCCATACATCAGAGGATGTCTGAACCTAGAGTGCCCATGTGATATGCACTCCATGTTTACTTCTATAGCATTAACATAGCATTTAAACATGTAACATGTGTTGACAGGCAAAGGGGGTTTTCACAAATGATATAGTAACATGATATTTCTGGAGTACAGTTGCTAAATTGTCTCTCAATCATTCTCCATTAAGAATTACTATAGTATTTTGAAAAACTTAAACAAAGCCATTCTTGTATTTTATTCATTATACCTTCATGGAGGAATGAAGTAAAGCAATGATCACAGTTCAGCTGTGGGGTAAAACCCCCTACATTCAAATGTATGGTCCTCATGATACTCTGTCATAAAGTTGGCTGGTAAAGCACAAGAGCCTCCCCTCATGTCCTGTACTGGTGATAATACTATATGGAACAGAAAGTGTGATGAACTATTCTAAGAGGACAAGCACATCAATAAAAAAAACTGACAGATGTTTTAGTCATTTGCCTATCTTTTGGGGATAAAAAAAATTGTTTTTGTTGTTGTTTGGTCCCTCTCATGGGATAAGAAGAAATCTACACAGCAGGCACGCAGACAGTAATAAAATCCTACCATGTTCTAGGCTGGCAAGTCGTTTAGTCAGTTCATGAATCAGCTCCTGCAGTGCCAATAATAAAAGATTCTAACTGCACTGTTCTAAGAGAAGTGTATCACATTTTCATCAGAGTGCTTCATTCTTGAAGCACCCTCCCAGTGCTGAAGGACACTTGTCTTGGCATTGTCATGGTAGGCTTCTTTATATTTTTCATACCTACCTGCTGGGCTGGTGTGTGTAGTGGGGGAATACATTTAATCTCTTTAAAAACAAAGATAAGCTAATGGATGAAATTTGGGCAGATCAGCAGTATATTATAAAATTTCCATGGATCCATTCACTTATCGCTACTAGGGAATTACCAAAGGGAAGTACAGTACTGTGCAAAAGTTTTAGGCAGGTGTGAAAAAATGTTGTAAAGTAAGAAAGCTATCAAAAAATATATTTTTTATTGCTTATTTTTATCAATTTAGAAATGCAAAGCGGGTGAACAGAAGAAAAATCTAAATCAAAACAATATTTGGTGTGACAACCCTTTGGCTTTAAACCAGCATCAATTCTTACACTTGCACATGTGCATAAAGTCGGGGATTTTGTAGGATTAGAGTCAGGTGTATGATTAACCAATTATATCAAGCAGGTGCTAATGATCATCAATTTCATATGTAGGTTGAAAAACAGTCATTAACTAAAACAGGAACAACTGTGTAGGAGGCTTAAAACTGGGTGAGGAACAGCCAAACTCTGCTACTAAGGTGAGTTTGTGGAAGACAGTTTCATGTCACAGGACATACACCAAGGTCTCTCTGAGGTAAAGATTTCAAAGCAGACCGGTGTTTCAAGATATGCTATTCAAGTTCTTTAGAAGAAGCACAAAGAAACGGGCAACATTGAAGACCGTAGACACAGTGGTCGGCCAAGGAAACTTACTGCAGCAGATGAAAGACATGTCATGCTTACTTCCCTTCAACATCAGAAGATGATCAGCAGTGCCATCAGCACTGAACTGGCAGATACCAGTGGAACCCAGGTACACACATCTTCTGTCTGGAGAAGTCTCGCCATAAGGGGTCTTCATGGAAGAATTGGCCATAAAGCCATACCTCTGATGTGGAAACAAGGCTAAGAGACTCAACTATGCATGAAAACATAGAACTGGGGTGCAGAAAAATGTCTGCAGGTGCTCTGGACTGATGAGTCAAAATCTGAAATATTTGGCATTAGCAGGAGGCATGTGTTTGCAAAGGGCTGGAGAGCGGTGCAATAATAAGTGTCTACAGCAACAGTAAAGCATGGTAGAGGTACCTTGCAAGTCTGGGGCATCTGCAAGTGAAGTTGGAGATTTGGTCAGGGTCAATGGTGTCCTCAATGCTGAGAAATACAAGCAGATACATATCCATCATGCCATATCATCAGTGAGGCGTGTGATTGGTCCCAAATCTATTCAGAGTAAAGAAGAACAAGGAGTCCTGGAAGTGATGATTTGGCCCTCACAGAGCCCTGATCTCAACATCATTGAGTCTGTCTGGGATTACATAAAGAGATGGAAGGATATGAGGCAGCCTACATCCACAGAACATCGGTCATTAGTTCTCCAAGATGTTTGGAACATCCTACCTGCAGAGTTCCTTCAAAAACAGTGTGCGATTGTACCTGATGCTTATTTGAAGGCAAAGGGTGGTCACAGCAAATGTTGATTTGATTTGGATTTATCTTCTGCTCATTGACCTTCCATTTTGTTAATTGATAAAAATAAACTATTGACACTTTTATTTGTGAAACCATTCTTACTTAACAGCATTTTTCACACCAGCCTAAAACTTTTGCACAGTACTGTACATGTCAAAACTGAATACCAAATTATTGTTGTTTTAGCTGAATTTTTATTTGTAACGCTTTAAAATAAGTATTTCTATTAAAAAGTTGAACCTTTTCCTTTGTTATTCGTTGAATATTAGAACTATACACATTACCATATCTCGCTTTAATTGTAATTTTACACAGATTTTTTTTTTACATTTAATTTTTCAGATTTAGGTGGCCATTACTAGTGTAAACTTTTATAATCCCTTCAGGTATTTGGTATTTAAACAAGCTAACGAGATTTCCCCTACATACTGACATTGTGAGCATACTTGAACCTTGGCCATGTCACACAGTTTAGCTGGTTTGATGCATGTATTTTATTCTCTTTATATTGTACGCCTGTTTCCGTTCTCTACAGCTCAAGGCAAGTTGTCAGTGAGCATGTATGCCATTATCCAGCAGCATTTTGGATAGTGTCCATTCATTGACGTGCATATTTAACATTCCGCTACTACCAAAGTCAAAATAAAGACAGGAGCAGTTTAAGCCTTTCCAGATGTCCTGTTGCTATAATGCAATGTATAAAGTATGGCATGTATTGCTACCTGTTGTTTGAGATCAGTTTACACAAAATGGAATATCATGCATGTATAAACCATACATCAATAGATACAATCTGCTTTTCAAACACAATGCATAAACAGGCAGCAAAAAAACTCAAATAAACCAAGCATCCATTCTACTGAAATAAGCAAATTAATAACATAATAATCAGAACAATACTGTACCACCGGGCAAAAACCTTTAAGAGCAATTAAAATATTTTCACTGGCTAAGCTGGTTACAAGAGGTGAACAAGTATATAATTATATTTTATTACAATTTATCCACATTTCATTATGTAATACTAGGGGGCAAATGCAATTTAAAAATGCTTCATTTGGAGCTTGCAAAAATGATTTTGCATGGGGAAAATTGAATGTTTGACCTATGTGACAGAAAAGGGGTTAAGACACAGCACTTAATGTAAACTTTGTGTTGATGTAGAATTGCTGTAATAAATAGCTACTTTCAGCACAGTGTTAATTGTGTAGCTAGTTTCTATTAACATGCGGCACAGACATAAACATATGTTTGTGTCTCCTGAGCCTACTCGGTAATACTGGAAGAAATGTGTCTGTAGTTTCCAGGGATTTGTAGGTCTCAGATCACCTATACTTTGTACCTTAGGGAAACACAACTACCAAATTGAGATCAGCAATGACAGCTCTCAGAGGTTTGAAATGCCTGCCATCTCAATTCTCTAGAATATTGTGTAGCAAAGCAGATTTAATATGCATACTTACCGGTTCACCTGGAATTCCTGATGGACCTGGAGCTCCATTCCTCCCCTGTTCAAATGAAGAAAGATGTCTTAATCAAACTGTATTATGCTACATAACATTCGTCACATTGATTACCACATTCTTTACGCATTAGCTTCTATGACCAAAACAACATTAAACAGCTTGTTATTGGTATGTGAAGTTTACCTTAAACGCAGAGTAGCAAAGCTTTTACAATAAATAAGCAGTAATGGATCGGAAATGGCTAGGCTACACAGATGTAAATTATGTCTAAATGATACACTAGAATATCATATTTAGAAAATTGCTGTGGTTATGGGTTTTTTAGATCCATGGAAGATAATATGTTTTATTTAACAGATGAATTTGCTGACTGCCCAAACAGACATAAAACACTGCTGTCAATATTCTGTGCAGAACAACATGAACAAATTTTAGAACACTAAAGCTGGTGACTCAGCTGAAATTCAAGCTGTGGGTGGCCCTATCTGCACCACTATGGTTGACAACAGTGGATATTTCAATAACTGTAATTGCGGGAATCAGTAAAAAAATAATTTGGGCTGGGCAATGACTGCAACCAATAGGCTGCAGTCACTGTTCAGGTGTTCTGACATCTGAGACAATCGGCTGGCAAAATACAATAGCCGAGCTAGGGAAAAACTGTGGATGGGGGAATCAAGCCCTTTGTAAGGTGAATAAAGTGATTTATGGAATGCTTCAAGCGATGAAGTGTATATTACTCAACATATTTTCTGGCCATAAACAGGCTGTAGGCTGTTTTGGATAAAGACAATAATTGTCTTAGTCATTCAGCTACAATTTATAATGTAAAGTCATTATATTCTATCGGTCATATAACTGAAGTTATTGTGGGCAGTTAGCATAATACATCAGCATACATAGTTCTACAATCCACCAATGACATAGGCACTGACAAGAACATAGAATTACTATAAAATAGTGAGACTCTTGATTTAGTCTTATTTATATATAATCTGATAAAAAAAAGTCTGGCACTATTAGCTAATTCATATCACATCTATTACAATCAACGGTGACCTATGCAAGTCTGCAACGCCTTATCTCATCAGAGTGCAAAAAAAGCAATTAGAAAGTGTATTGCAGATCACTATCTATTCAAAGTTCAATGTAAATAAAAATATTCCCAAGACAAAATGTAACAATTATCCCTTATATCTAGCCCAGTATATACAAAGTATTGTGTGCATAGATCATCAAAGTGCATGCAGCCTTTTTCCAAATCCAATCTTATCCAAAGTGCAATGTGAAGAAACAGTTGTCCCAAAGTGTATCATCCAATATATATTTCTTGCAATCAATATACTATATATGTTTCGGATTATGTTATGTTATGAATTTTTATGAAAGCAAGTCAGATTTTTTACATTGTGAATAGATTGCAGAAAGTTGAACCTGCTAAGAGGCTTGACATTATAAAAACAATGTAGGATCTCCTAGCCTTTGAAACCTGTCAGCACTGTCAAGGATCAGCTTTGCAGGTGATGTTACTTGTAGTTCTATACATATCTGGGTCACAGATCAGTAGCTAGCTGTTACTTGTATGTGCTCTGTTTCTACCTTGATCTTGCACTGGCATGGAAACATTAGGCTTCTCCTGATCCCATCTACTAATTGCTAAAGTAGCTTCTCAAACAATCAGTACTCCCACTCTTTTTTCCCCTGTCAGCTTATGACCAGTGTAAGTGGTTCCTTCCTATTTCACACCTTATTTATACTCAGTGTAGCTCACAGCTTGCTGCCCTAGCAATGCTTTTACAAGCTGCTTAGCTGCAGAGCCCCTGGTCTTCCAGCATTCCAGGCTGTATCCTTCATTTTTCAAGCGTACTAACTTTTGGCTTGTTCCTGGTTACCCATGTCTGCTGCCAGTCCTGACCACTGTCTTGTTCTTGGTTATCCGTGTCTGCTGTCAGCTCTGATCTATGACTTGGTAAACCCAGGGCTCACAATCTGGAGTCGGAGCACAGCAAAACCCAAACTCCTGTGAGGGGTTCCTGGTAAGTACCAGCTGGCTCTTAGACTCTGTGTGATACCACATTACCTGCTCTCACAAGGGATCATCTTGTTAGTTCTACCAGGTCTGATCTATTCCTGAGTGACCATGATCAAGTTCCCTGAAACTCCCATATCTAATGTGCTCCTACATGACTCTTACTTTGCAAACCCTGCTCCATTATTCAAGTTGCTCAATGGTTCTGTGCTCTACTGTGAACCAGTTGTTGACCTATACCTTTAGGGTAATCCTATTCTACCTCTTTGGGGTATCCATTACTGTGTAGCTAGAGGGTTCACACCGGCATAGTTGGCAATCCTGACAGACCCTTTTTGGGTAACAGGGTAATTTTTCCAGAGTTTACTTTGCCTACCCATGACAAGTTATATGAAGACCACCTTTCCCAATCCTCTAATAACAATTGAGGGTAATTGGCTTGACAAAGTTTCGATATTGATGGTGTAAGCTTAACAATGAAGTACGGCAGAGATTCAGGTTTCCATTAAAAGGGGAAGTGTTCTTTAACTGCCTCCAGGCCGGCCGTAGTAGAAAAAAGGCCGGCCCGGAGCTCTCTAGACCTGAGCGGGCGCGTGCGAGCGGGAAATGGCCGTTTTTAAAAAACAGGCAGCGATGCCTGTTACAATACAAGCGATCCACTGGCTTTAGAGGTGGCGGATCGCGTGTATGGGGTGCCGATCGGTGTCCCCCCCTCTCCGCGGCTCCCCCCTCTGTTGTCCTGCTGATCCCAGGCTCCGCTGTGCCCGGTGCCTACCCGGGATCAGCAGGTCGCCTGTGTCACAGGGGATCAGAGGGAGCTCGGTACACGAGCTCCCTCCGGTCCCCTCTCCTCTGCAAGAATGCAGAAGTGTTGTATAATACATCACTTCCGCATTCTTGTGTCACTCTTCAGCTTCAGAAGCTGGAAAGAAGCTGATGGAGCAGATCTGTGCTTCATCAGCTTCTTTTGGGGGATCCTAGGTGACATTAGGGGTCTTGGAGACCCCTGATGTCTCCATAAAGAGGACCTGTCACATATTTTGCTATCACATAGGGGGGGGGGGGTTTATTAGCCCCCGTATGTGATAGCAATAAAGTTTAGTGGGAAAAAAAAGGAAAAAAAATGTAAGTTCCCCCCCAAAATTGAAAGTTACACATAAAAAAGAATAAACAAACAAAATAAAATTTTAAAGTCCCCACCCATACATACACGCATGCAAAAAAGACGATTGCGCCCATTACGCAGCACATGTTACATATCGCCGCGAACGTCGGAGTGAGAGCAATAAGTCTAAGGCCATCAATCACTGATAACACTAAACTGATGAGCGGTAAAAGCTTTTAAAGTGTCGCCTATGGCCAATTTTGGGTATGGTAGTTTTCTGCCATTTCGCGGGTGCGCGCAATTTTAAAGCTTGACATGTTTGGTGTCTATTTTCCCGACGTGACCCGATCTTTTATATTTTACCAAAAAACTGGGTAATAATAAATGTTTCCTAACATAATGTAAAAAAAATTTCTGTCATTTTTCCTAATTATAATAAAAAATAAAAACCCCAGTGGTGTTTAAATACCACCAAAATAAAGCTGTATCTGTCCCCAAAAAATGGTATAAAATGTATTTCAGTACAGCGTTGCATGGCGGAATAAACGTCAGTCAAAGTACTGCAGCGCTGAACACTGAAAAATGGCCTGGCCAGGAAGGGGGTCTAAACACCTGGTCTTGAAGTGGTTAAGGCAAGACAGTAAGCTCTGAGAGATATTGTTTTATGAATAACATTATGACCAAAGCCCAATTTTTCCAAAACTACAAAGAGGTAGTGCTACAAAACTGAATCAAACACTTTGCAAGTCTACAGAAGGTATCTCAGATTCAGGAAACCCTTTATCCCATGTGGATTGCAAATAGAGTTATTAGATTTCCCATGTGAAGTATGCACCACACGTGTATTGTTTAACGCAGGTGTTGACCTTATCTATTGAATCGCAATGGGAAAATTAAGAAGAAGTGAAGGTGGTTTTATGTTTAAGTAATCTTGCAAATATTCTATATTCAAGGGAACATTGTTGCACTAACCACTTGAGGGATCAACTTGGGATATCTCTGTTAGTTTAGACATAAACCGACATGACATGTAGATGGAAATAAACAGAATTCTGTTTCTTTGTGTTCAAGTTATGTATTACTGAAGATCAGGTAAATAAAGCTGTAAGTCTATGAATTAAGGATATGCTCTAGATGTGTTATTGAAAACTTTTTGAAGCAATACATTTACTTGTGCTGTAAGCATTTTGTCACAGATGATAAACCTGCAGAATGTTACATAAAACAACTATAACAACAAGAGGAAGCACAGAATTATGTGCCTCACAGGTATACATACACTGAAGGAATAAGGGATTTCTACATGACTTCCAAGGAGCCTAAACTAGAATATTGACTGCAGATAAATACCACATATTCTTCCTACTTACTTATTAATGGCTTAGCCTTAGGACAAGATATGTGTTTATCTCAAGCATGTTCAAATGCATTTATGGTTGATTTTTTTTCTATTAAAATGGCATGAACTTTGCAGCTATTGTCTTAAAAAAATCTCCCATTTCGCAGAAAAGCAATAAAGCAAATTTACTTTGCTTTACTTGCCCATGTCTCATTTTTAATTCCCTTATTTATGGCAGTTCTTTTTTTTGGCATTGTCCATCTAATCTACAAGGAATATTAGTAAAACTATTGTGATTAAATATGTTTGCATGGGTAAAAAAAAATTGAAAGTTGAATTAATGTAGATCTCTGTCATGAAAGACCAGATCCCTTTTCTTGTCTTGGACTTCTTAAACTGTACATTTACCATAGTTTTGCCTCTATGTACAAAAAGACTGCATAATGAGTAGAAACATGTTACATATTCTTTCAAGTAGCAGTTGTCAACATCATCAGTAAACTGATTGGATTTTTAGATAACCCACAATTGACTCTTCAAAGCTCATCAAAAGCAAAAAAAGAGTCTTC